GAGATTCCCACTGCGCTTTCTCCCACACGATATCATATAGGGCAGAGCTTTGATCGGAGCCAACTTGGACTTGAATCCTCCTGACATAGCCCATGGAACAGGAAATAATGGCTTCAGATAGGATCGAAAGTATTGGCCAAGCTCCAGGAGAAAATATTCAACGTCTTCATATAACGCGTTAATCATCGCGGCATCCATCTCCTTGCCATCAGAATCCCTTCGGCTTACCCCCTTCTTTTTCTTCTTGCCAGAAGCACTCACTGGATTGCCGGAATCACCTTCATCAACAGGACTACCATACTGATCCGACACCGTCTTGGACAAATTTTGCAACTGCTCCACATAATCTCGAATCTGCCCGCTCTTCCTCCAACAAAATTTGGCATTCAGGAAAAGCAAAACGACCTGCCTTTTCCATTCCTCCGTCAACTCGCCATCCACATTCACACTCTTGTTCTTTTCCCATACAGTATGAAACTCACCACCAAAATTACCGAGTTGATCGAGTGGAAACTCTCGTATCAGCGGGAACAAACACAAGCCCAATCCTGTCCGATATCGATTCATTGCATTCTGAATCGGAAGCAAAAGTTCATCCAATTCCTCCTGTGACGTCACAGATCCTTTGAGGAATGTGTCCATCTGTAACTCAGGATGAGTCTTGATCAATTCTTCACTGAGGTCCAATTTTCCTCCTCCCATGGTGAAAGCAATGTCGAAAAATCAGTAGCAACGTTCCACACAAGAATCGACTCCGACAGCGTAAAAAATGCAAAAAAATCGAGTCCAACTTCCAAACAACGATTTCAAAAACAATCGAATCACCGACTCAAACAGTGAATCTGTAACCACAATGAACCGAACTTACTCTTTGTTCCAGTTCAGACCGTACGGTAAATCACAGTTGCGCAACAACAGTAAAAAAATGAGAACTGAGAACAAAGAGAAAATTTTCTCTTTGTAATCGAATCAACCTCCACCTCACTGGCCAGAATCTATTTAACCCAAGATCCACCAAAGACTAACTCTCAGTACACCTGAGATCCTTACACCAACCTTATTCACCTCAACGATACACAGCTGTGCAGTCTCTAACACCTTCACTGATGATGATAGAACTCTCAGAAGAACCACACAACACCACCAACACTTCCTTTATTCACAGCAGTCACCTTCCCTTCAGTCCCTTGCAACCCAGTACGATGCACAGCGCTCAGTGGACACGTGTCCTCCTAACCCCCTCTTCGAGTCTCCGCCTGACCCTCAGGCTCGTCGATTCCTTAATTCCAGACCTATGTCGAAACCCACTTCCATCTCGCTGAGCTTCGTCCATCGATGAGACGCAATACCCTGAACTTCTCGCCGTCTCCAAGAACTTATCCGAGTTCTTACACTACTCAGTACTCAGCGACCGGCGCCGGGCCGGGCCGGGCTTGGCGGCTGACTCCGAGTCACACTCGGGAGTCCCGGAGTCCGGCCCCGGCGGCCGGCCGCGCTGGCACTGAGGCTCCGAGGCGGCTCAGCCTGGCAGGCCGGGCCGGGGCGGCCGGTGGTAGGCTTGAACTTCGCTAGTACGGGGGCCCTCGAGTCGGCCCCGGCCCCAGGCCGAGCTCGGCGATCGGACCGGCGTAGGCTTGCCACCGTGACCGTACTACCGTAGCACCGCCGTCGGAGGCTCAGGCTAGTAAGCTCCCGCCGGGCCGGCGAGTTCGCTTGGCCCTCACCCGGCCGTCCGACTCGGCGATCACGGTTCAAACGGTTGCCACTGAGTTCGGACTCGGAACTCGGGACTCGGGAAGCCTAGCACGGTAGATGTGTCCGGTACGAGACTCGAATTGTCGACAGTTTTCCATCGGCGGCTCCGCCAGCACACCGCTCAGTGTCCTCACACCACCCCTCCTTTCTACCGCTATCACCCCCTTCCCCCTAGTGTACCCATTGAGGACACTTCTCGAGTACCCCCCTTTTCGGAATTTCCAGTCCCCTAGGACCCCCATGTATCCATTCGACCACCCCTACCCTCTTTCAAAGTGAGTTGGTGATAATTCAAAAAGTAGATGGGCCCTTCATTGACCCACCCCTACATTTGCCTACCCACCTCACTTTTGATAACCATTGTATCGATGTACCCCCATAGTTCATTGCATGAGTATTTCAGACCAGAATCCTCGTAGCTTTTGAACTTTATCTTAACATCACATTTGTAATTATCTCTATCTTCACCCCATATGTTGCATAGCGCCCTGCAAGATTACCACCCTACCAGGTAGATTACACCTGTGAGTTTGAAGCACCTGTTTTGCTTATGTACCCCATACTTGTCCAGGCATGAATGGAACCCCCTACCCCCAGCTGCTTCAATGAGCCATCCTACCCCTCCACCGATACCTCCACGCCCAACAATGCAAGCTTGATTCTACAGCGCCGGGATGTGTAGGAAAGGAGGCAGTGTATCAGAGAAATGTTGTTTTTCGTAGACAATATGATGCATCAAACAGATGCTGTGTTGTTTGTAGCAGTTGTGATGATGTTTTTATCTAAAATTCAAGTAGATACAAGTCAGAATGACAAAGCTCAAAGCAGTTGTGAACACATGGGGGAATCGAAAGTAGCGATCTTTCCTCTGTGTCTTTAGTGAACTTTCTGTTTGTTCCAAGCTCGCTAGGATCCTATTGAGTTGATCAACCTGAGAGGCATTGATCTTTGCGAGCGATTTGCTTTCGTATACGAACGAGTCTAGCCGAGGCGATGACTTCAGTATTTGCCTTCTGTACCCTCTGATACCGTCAAGATGGTAAAGGGAACAATGCTGTATTTGCATTACACAACTTTTCTACTCATGCTGTTGATAACTCAACGATCCTGGCTTCTGGAGAGTCTCCTCGACCTCCCTTTGTTCAAAGCCTCCTTACATCATTGACCCGATCGTGTTGATTCTTGTATCTTGGACATCTATAACGATTGCACTTTGTTCTCGATTGTCTCTGTAATGGCTAAAACTCTATTCAACCATCACTTACGAGTTTTGTTCCTGCAGACTTGATCATGTCCGGATGGTATTCGACAGGAAGAGTAATCGAATTTTCCCAACCTTCCCTGTTCATGACTTGGGTTTGAATTGTAGCCTGAAGGGATGAGAAGAGGAGGAGTCGGACTAGTGCTTGAAGGTATGACAGGAATCTAGTCTCTTGACCTGCGTTGACGAGTTTCTCAGCTCGCGGAAGAGGACCGGCATTCGTGGCCGAGCTAGCGCCAGGTCGAATCTGCTGGTACTTGTCTAGAACGAAGGATTGAGAATGGTGCATGTAGGAGGAAGTGCTGAACGCTCCGGGAGGATCAGAGTTGGCGATCGATTGGAGAAAGTAGATGGGCAGACTGTGTTTGGGTTGACGCCAGCCGAACTTTCACAGGTGTAATGTGATCCCTTATACCCGAGACTGCAGCTGACATCAGCAAACAGATCATCTCTGGTCCTGATGGGACTACAGTTCGTCTTGGTTTCCGGAGGATTACATCTTCATTCTTTGCTGAGAATGAGGAACTGTTTGAAGGTTGAAAGTTTGGTGGCCCATGACGTCGGGGGTAACTCTCTTACCAGTCTCGTTGATCCGATCGCTTCCTGGTGCCGCCCACACGAGCCGTACAAGCATGCAAGAATCATCTTCAGAGATGTTCGAGGTGGTTGTGAGAGGTGGTCGGTGCGATGATGTACTGATCTCGAACTCTCTGCTTTCTCAGGGAAGGTTGTCGATGCAGGTTGTTTCTGTTCATTGCCAATCTTTGTCGTTGAGCTATACGCTCCATCGCGAGTTCTGTTGTGTGATGCATGGGTACAGCAGACCAAAGATCAGCAGCCATACTACCAGCAGAGACAAGAGCCGAAGTACGAAGCAAATGTTCCTCTCCTCTCTGTCCTCAAGGCTTTCTGGCAGAGTCTTCGAATACACGCCGTCCCCTCAGTTCAATCGGTACTCCGTCCCATCGCAAGCATATCCTGTGAGATACTCCCGGCCCCCGTCCTGTCTACTCATCGCTGCCTGTCTGCAGTACGCGTCTCCTGCTTTGCACCAGGCAAACAATGGCGTATCTGCCATAGGAGGCGACCTCTCAGCAGGAGAAATCCTCGATAGAGGAGCATCACAAAAGCTTGCTGCACCAAGACCTGCAGAAGGTGAACCCTGGCGCTCCTGTAGCAAGGTTTTCAAAGTTTCGTCGGTAGCAGGGCGCGTGGTGGCGGAGATGTATCATTCCAAGGAGGAGAGCAGAACGCACAGGGACGGAAAAGATGAGTTGGTTGAAGAACTCAACGCACTGCTCTCCTTCGTCAAGAGCGGATTCACAAGCTCGAATCAGCAGGACTCTTCTCAGTTCCTTAAGGTCCCCCAGCTCTCTCCCAGCTCAGAGCTGACCTCCCTGCAGAGCAATGCGCCAGGCGCAGAGATCCTCCGAGAGCTCTACCGTGAAGGTGACGCAACTGACCTTCCCATCCTCCTCCTACTTGCGGATCATCGTCATCTCCTCTGCCTCCGTCTCCTCTTCCATCATGGGCGCTCTCCTATCGCCATCCGTGATTGCATGTTTCAGTCTCGGCGTTGAAGAGCAGGGAAGCTTCGAGTGAGAACGTGCTACGGGTAGGTCACCAGACTGTTCTGTCGCCTGTTTCCCTCTTGCCCATCCTTCCTCCTCTTACGATGCACGGGGCTCTCAAGCTCTCCTCACCTTCAGTCTCCCCACTCGCTCCTCCTCAACTTGTTGATTTCCCCGGAGGACTTTGACTGTGAACCTTCTTCTCATCGTCCCCTCCGCCTGCATCCCGCCTCTTACCTTTTGCTCCCTCCTGGCAGGTTGCTAAGGAGACACTGGACGCACGCAAGAAGCAGATCAGGACCTTGACGATGGTGATGAACAAAGTTCCTGACCTGCGAGTCTGATCCCTTCCATAAGACCATCAAGAAATTGCAAGGGAAAGGATCTCTGGCCGGAATGGGTAGAACACCTCTCCTCCCTCCTCCAATCCAAATCCAAATCCCACCTTGCTCTCAGCTATCTCGTCTACCTGTACTTGCTGCTGCGTCCTCCTGTTGCAAGCTCGCTGCTCTCCTCCTGTGCCTGAATTGATCATCCGCCTCAGGCCTCTCTGGATCCATGGACAGTGGCAACTTGCAGGCAGGAGGAGGCGGAGGAAGAGAGGGAGAAGTTTGAATTCTTGACGTTGCTGGTAGGCGTCTGATACTCAGTTGGGGGACAGCAGCATTCTAAGTGACCTGGGGGCAGACCTGGGGGATGCGGAGACGAAGAGAGCAGGTGAGATGTGTGGGAAGAAGGAGGAAGAGGAAGTCTGACGGACGAGCTCGAGCAGAGCAGGCAGGCGGTGGAATCAGGTGCCTAGTGAATTTGCAGGAGTGCGAGGAGGAGCAGGTTGTGACCACTGCTGGGTAGGATGGAGGAGGGCAGCTCTGAGAAGGAGGAGATGAAAAAGGTCATCGTCGAGCAGACTTCACAGATCCGAGCGCTGGAGGTGAGCAAGGAGGCGACGAGGCCTGGCAAGTGAAGGAGGGGGATACAGGAGAAGCTGCACTACTTGGAGGAAGATCATCGACAGGTGCGCCCGCTCCCTTCCTTGCTGTGCCAGGAGCCTGACAGGCTCGAGCAGAGGTCGGAGAGGATCACCGAAGTGTCGGAGAGGCTGATGCAGAAGAGGAAGGAGGAGAGGTACGCACCGTCTTTTCTCTCCCCCTCCCTTGCTGCTGCCCTTGCTGCTAGTTTCCTTCCTGATGTGCTCGTAGGGAAATGATTGAGAGTCTGAAGCTCGAGCTCAACGAGAAGAACGAGATCATCCAGAAGCTGCAGGCCGGCGAAGTCGCCAGCTTCGCTGAGGTCAAGCTGCTCCCTCTTGCTCCTCCCCAGCTGGCTGACGGGCATGCAGTACGACCAGCAGGGCTACTCGCAGTACCCCGAGACGAGGATCTGATGCTTGAGGGGCATCACGTACATGAAGGAGATGAGGAGAAGCTCCCTCTTGGATGGTGGGAGGAGAGCAGGGAGAGGAGAGGTGGAAGTTAAGAGGCAGAGAGCGAGGGAACGCGGAGCAGGAGAGAGGAGGTAAGAAACATCACAAGAGTCGTCTAGCTGTTTTTAATCCTTCAATCTGTATTCGACTTCCCCGACAAAGGCATGACCCATTCTGCAGAAGGAATTTCACACCCCATCCTCCCCCTCTCCTTATCCTCCCCCTCCTCCTCCTTCTCCCCTCTTCCTCATCCACTCCTCTTCTCCTCCTCACTCACCTTCTGCGGACGAAATGGTCTGGCTCATAGGTGACGTTCTCATTCACCGCTAAGAACTTCTCTTCGTCTTGCGTCTCAGTGAAGGGCTCAACTTCTGCAGACGGACAGTCAGAGAAGAGAGACGATGAGAGCAGAGAGATCTCGAGCAGAGAGATGCGCACATGTGCACTAGGGGGCCTCAAAGTTGCCTTACCGGGCATGGCGCGCATGGCGAAGAGCCGAAGGTGGTCGTTTTCGTCGGAGATGGTGTTGAGAATTGACTCAGAGTCTGTTGGCCATCGATTTGCCACTCCGTACTCACAGCTGCGTGCAACAGTGACCACCTTCCTCCTTCCCCACTCGCTTCACCCACTCCTATGAACTTCACCACTTTCATGTGTACTCAATCTGCCTCCCTCCTCTAATTTCTACTCCTCCTCCACCACCACCACCACCACCTCCTCCTCCTCCTCCTCCTCCTGTCCCTACCCCTCCCCTAGAGCGCCGTGACAGGCGTCTCGGGTACCGTACTGGCAGGATGCCTGGCCTGACCGGAGGGTCTCGACAAGTCTCTAGTTGATCTCGATTGGTACATGTTGACTGTTGTGCAATGAAACGCACGTGTGATACTTTCCGGCTAAAAGGGAGGGAGTCTGCCCTTCATCTTGACAATGTCATCGCGCAGTCCTCTATCCTCCATAAGATGAAAGGTACGTCATGACCATTGGAGCCTCATCAGTATGCTGTGAG